GCTTTGAATTCATCTTGCTCGAGAATAACAGCTGTCACCTTTTCACTAGCGGTGTCATTTACAGCGAGCAGGGCGGGCAGGGACAGCTACATTGTTTTGTACGAGGTCACAGGAAAAACTAAGTTTGGGCGTAGCATAGCCATTCACAGCTGTAAAGGTATTAAAATTTTTGGTTTTAATAAAAGGTTCCCTGCCCTCCCTCTAAATAAGAAAGGACAATTTTCCATCCAGCGAAGATGTGTTATTCTTATAAGCACATCTCAAGTGGACGCAGATATGCTTCTGAAAAGTGAAAAGTTGTGTCTTCATTCTCATTTCCTTACGAACTTGAATCGCTGAATTTTGTGCAAGCGCAATAATACGGTTTACAAATCAACCTCAAGACGGATGAAATCGTCCTCCTCAATAAATTGATAATTTTATCAGTAATACAAACTAATATCATATGTTTGAGGGCTATAATGTAGCAAACAGATTCGAAGAGTCGTTTATTTTTGCAATGGTGCGTAGGTTGAGGAAGGAATAGGGTGTGTATGTCGAATGCTGATGCCAAATCAACAGCAAAAATCAACAAAATCAGCGTGGTAAAATTAAAAGGAAGATAGGGGATACTCACATTGTATGTAATGCAAGTTAAGGGTTAGAGCGTAGTTTTTCTTCGAATGGGTCCGTTATTTTTAATGAAATTGTAAAGTGGATGACCTGGGCCGTGGAGTCGGAGTACAAGGCTGCGCCTGTTTCTGCTGGCGCGGGCGGGCGTGCGTCAAACATGCAGCAGAGCAGTGCGCCGCGGTGCATCACCCACACACTTATTGCGTCATCAGTGCAACTTTAGGTAAATTGTTCATTTTCCTTTTTCCTCTTGTTGCCGAAGTGCGTTCCCTGCGGCTCATTTTTAAGGCCTATAATTTAACATGGGGGTGTGACCTTATAGTGGTCATGCCGCAGGGAACGTGTTAAAATCTAGATGCAATTTAAAAAAAAAAAAAAAGTTCTCCAAAGCAATTTAAGTTTGTTAATTGTTGTTCTTTTTAGGTGTAGCATATGTCCTATAGTTGGACGTGACTGTGCGCAAGAAGAATTTTAAAGTTATGGAATTTTAAAAAGCTTGCGCACACACTCACGTTCAACTAAATAGGTATATTATACCTTAAAATGAACCGCAGTGAACAAACTCAATTGCTTTGGATAGCAATTTCGAAATACCTTGTTGTTGTTTTTTTGCCTTAATTTCCAAGTTTCAGGCCTGTATCACCTTAAGTTTTACGCGAGGGGTGCCTCAATCCATAAAAATGTGTACACCGGATTACCAAATTGTAAAGATTACGAATGATTACCAAAGATTACCAATGATTACCAGTGATTACCAAAGATTACCAATGAATGCTAGATATGATTCGCCTGCATTCTAAATCGAAACGGTTTTTTTTATTCAGAAAGATGCATTTTTTGTGCACATCTGAGGCAGCTCTCTGCAGTTCTTAATTCTTTATCTTACAAGTTACAAATTTGTATTCTATGAATGGACAAATTTTTGTCCTTGAGAGAGATGCAAATTCACCATAAACACACTGTTAATGTATTTCATCATTTCACGAAAATGATCCATCACAAAGAGTTCTTTATTGAAATTAACAAGTATTATTCGTCAATTTTGGTTACGAACTGTTCGTAGCGAAAGAAAACAAACTATTCGTAACATCATGATTTAAAAGTGTCATTTGGTCGTCAGAGTGTTTGTTTGAAAAGTTCTTGTGTCCAGAATCGTTCTTTTAGGACAACAACCAAGGTACAAACTGTTCGCCATTTTACGAATGTATTTTTTAAATGAAAATAACGAAGAGTTTGTGTAGAAAATTTGACAGGACATTTTTCGTTAAATTACGATATAACTTCTAACAGTGCATGCGCGTTTGCATTAAGGCAAGATGTACACAAAAATGCATGTCTCAATCAACAAATTTGTTCATTGAAAGTGTGTGGATTACCAGGGATTACCAGTGATTACCAAGTCTGTGTGTGCACACCTGATTACCACAGTTGGGCACCCGTCAGTTTTACGTGAGCTTCAAAGGCATGTAAAGATTTCTATAAATTCTTGTTGCGTCTTTTTCTGTTGCATCTTCGCCTATATTTTTATTATTGTATTCTATGTGTACAGTTATATAAAATAAAAACGTGCATTATCAGGCAAAAATAAGTCCAAAATGTTCATTTTTAACTTTTTCAAATTCAAATTTCTATGTTCTGTCTTTGAGGTGGGTTTTTGAGGTTGGATATTGTCAATTTGCACTCCCAAGTTACATTTTTAAAGCTAATCGATGGTGTGACCACGAATTTTGGTCAAAGAGCAATTCTTGCTAAACGATAGGCATCGGAGTTTATTTTTGAAAGAAGTTTGTAACGGCGCTCAACGCAAAACTCGCTCTGCTGCACTTAATTCGACAACACTAACCATTAAAAGTACACGTATTTTAAAAGGTATTTTCACGATTTTTCATTATCTGTCAAGGTATGAAAACAGCAGCAGGAACCTTTTGAAAAAGATGCACACGAAAAAAGGCTTTTTGTAGCGATTGGACAGAGTTGATACCTGTACATACTCCTCAAAGGCATTTGGTGCCAACCTTCTAGTAAGCCGGTCCTTTACTCTGAAGTGTCTTCTAAACTCCGAAGCCTCAACCTCCAATCATGTAGAACGACTTTGATGCTCTGTGGCTCTGTGGGCCTTCGACTTACAAAATCAGCTCAATGTGTGGAAGTTCCTTGCAATGTTCATATAAGAACACGATGGGGCATATAATCTTGGGGTTCTACCACGTGCCCCTAAAAGGCTGTTTTTTTTAGACCAAAGTAGAAGTGTAGAAAGCGTTTAGTTTTCACTCCTTTAGATGGCTCCTGGCCCGAGCAGGGGCAAGATAGGCCAATATTCGCGGTTGGACATAGTAAGTCACCCCGAAAACTGTCAAAGGGAACCAAAGTTGGGATAGGACAACAATCGGGGTCGGACATCACATGGCATGCCAAACCGAAACAAATATAGCACAAAATGTGTATATCACTCAGCTGAGTGTAGTTCACACTGTTCACACTATTAACAACATGACTTATGTGCCGAACACAATAGCGTTGTCCATTCAAGGGGGGCCTTTCGCGCTATAAGGTTAAACCAATAAGTTCTTGCTGTGGGTAGGTGCTGATTTTAGCTTATCGTCCCTGCTAGCTCTCCGACATGCGCAGGGGTCGCAAACTCGAGCTATCCACCAAGCCACACCTGCATAGGCCACACATACGAACTCTTCGGCAAGAGAGTGAGAGAGACAGAGCTAGTCGCGTCGTGCGCCGGCCCGTGTGTCTGTCTTTATTACTCCTAATGGCACTCAATGAGTGAGACAAAGACAGACATACACACTGGGCCAACCCGACGGTGGCCCTATCGGGAACCTCACGTCACTTCACTTTACAACCGTAGGTAGGTCTCCATCGGTATTCGGTGTAGTTCGTAGCAGATCGATGTGAATTAAAATTAGTGGCGTGAAAATTGCACCTTGGATGGGACAGCTGTAGGACACCTTGTACGTCACTTGGATTTCCAGAGTGGTCAGCCTGCTGTGGTCTTCTTGTAGTCTGTCTGTGACCTGCCTCTGGTCTGTCTGTGCTCTTCCTATGGTCTGGCCTGCCTATGGTTTGCCTATGGTCCTTCTATGGCTGGTCCGCCCGCTCCTGACCTTGCTCATGGGCCTGGCGTCCCGGGCGGGGAGGAGGGGGTGGCGGTGGGGGAGGCAGGCGCGGCCCGCCCGGGCTGGCAGCCGGGCTCGGCTCGGCTGGCCCGGGCTCCTCAGTGCGCTCGTCTCCAGCGGCCAGGATGGACGGCCGGCGCCAGCGGGGGCTTCCCCGGAGGCTCCTTGGGGAGCCCTGCCGCCACCGCCGCCTCTCCAGGTAAGCGAGGACAGCTCCCCGCCGCCCCCATGCCGCCTCCGCGTGGCCCCTGCGCCGCCCCTGCGCCACCCCTGCGCCACCCCTGCTGCCCCGCAATGCGATCAAGTGGATTGCAGTGAGGATACTCTGTGGCTCCAGTGCTCGTCAGTGTCCTCCCCCCGCCCTGCCAGCCCTGCCAGCAGCCCTGCCCGCAGCCTTGCCAGCCCTGCAAAACCTGCCGTGCCCCGGGGCTGCCCAGGCCGTGCGCGCGCCCTGCGGCCCTCCCCCTGGCGCAGCCTGGCGCAGCCTGGCGCACGCACGCCTGTTGCGGAGCCCACCCCCTGGCTCCCTGCGGCCCTGGCCGGCCCTGGCCCTGCTGCAGCAGCCTGGCCTGGGTGGTCGTGCTCACGGTCAGACGGTCGTAAAATCCTCGCCCGGCCCTGCCCGCCCGTGGTTAAGGGACGCCAGCAGCTGTGTTGGTGGCGCTGGCTCCTCGCGGCCGCACCCTTCGCGGGCCCCCTTTTTCCTTGGCCGCCGCCGCGGGCCTCGCTCGTCTGGTATGACAACGCTCGTCAGCAGGCTTTGGCCGCTGAGCGGCTGGGCCGCCCGGGCGGGCCGTCCAGGGCGGGGGTGGTTGGTAGAAGGTAGCGAGGTAGGGGTAGCCAATCGCTCGTGCAGCTCGGGCGGGTCGATAGTGGCGCCACCTGTCTGCCCCTGCGAGGGCCGCCGCACGCTGCGCAGGATGCATGCGCTTCCATCTCTATTTTTGCTCGGCGCTGCGAGTGGACTCTTTCCCTGCTCGCGGCGGGCGCGCTGCCGGCGCTGCAGTCGGGCCAGAGGGCGGCTCGCAACAAGTCCGGTCCACCCTCGCCTCGGCCGCGCGGCCTGCCTAGCGCCCTTGGCCCCGGCCTTGGGGCCCCGGCCTTGGGCCCCGGCCACGCTCTTGCGTCACGCGAAGGGCTGCTGGGCCCCGTGGGGTAGGGTGCCCGCGGGTCCTCCTGCCTCCGTGGCGGCCGCCTGGCGTGCCCATGCCTGCGGCCTTGTGCGAGATTTCGGCGGTCCGTGATGGCGCGCGGGCGAGCCAGGCGCGCGCACAGGACAGCCGGGATAGCGGGGCTCCGCCGAGCTCTGGGGACAGCTAGGCCGCCATCTTGTTGTGACGTAGGCCATCATGGCGGCCCCCCAACAAGCAAGGTGCATAGCGTGCGTTACAGCGTGCGAGTGCATAGGCGTTGCAGCCCTTATCATCGGCAGTACTCGTGATTTGGTGATGGTGCGTGGGCATGTGCTGCCTCAGCCATGTCTCTGGCGAGATACGCCCCTCCGGGGTAACCCCTCTCACCTTCCTCCCCTCACGCGAAAAGCTAATCCATCCGCGTTTTTTATGCGACAACTCAAATAAGATTTTGGTGGACTAGAACTGGAACTGGACAACATGTTCTCCCTCCGGGGGTAGTTGGGACATCAAGATGATGCTTGTGAATGGTGTCACCGAGATTTTGCTGGGCTACATGCCTTGCTGATCGAAATTCAATGTTAATTTTTAATGTTTTGTTATCGCCATAGCACGTTGTTTTAATTATGTTGTTGGGTTGTATTGTAGGATGGGATGAGGTGCATGAGAGCAGAGAGGGGAGGGCCGGGGGGTTTCTGGTGCTTGCCATTTGCGGTAGGATGAGGTGCGCCGTGGAAACGCGCGCTGACTTATGGCTTGCATTTTTACTGTAAATCACCTCATTATCGATCGATCCATCGTAGGGTTATTTTGTTTTTCTTTCGAGCTCGTGCTACTCTCCGCCCCTCCCCTGCTGGTACCACGGGCTCTAAAATTTGTGAATCGTTTGCGCGGGGGTGGAGAAATGGCTTTAACGAGCTGCCATCAAATGTTCATCATCGTTTGCTTTGCTTTGATTTCAGTGAGTCGACTCCACTGCGAGAGCGAGTCTTTCAAGATGGACTTGATTTTGGACGTCAACACATGGCTGTACAACATGGAACTTGGTGAGTTTTCACAAATTTTCTGCGTGTGTATGTGCTTTGTGTGCGCCCGCATGCGTGTGTGTTTGCATGAGGCTGGATCAATACCCCCGTTCGTCGTGTTATTTTTGGAGCCATCGCTGTGGCGCGGCGGCTTCTGGCCTCTCTCGACCGATTTTCTTTGTTTCGGAAACATATCGCTCAGTCACAGTCCTCCCCCTCCAAAGAAACGCGCGCGGGCGATTCGATCCTGCTCGTCATATTATTTCTTTTGCTCTTTCTTTTTTTTTGCGCTCGCTCGACGAGGTGGGATAATTTTGGCGCTCGTTGGTCCAGTCGGTCCCACGTGGGTCCCAGTCTGCCGAGTGCGCCGTCACGCCCGGGCGGAGCGCAGCCTGGCGCTGCCCCTCCCGTCCTTGAGTGGCGCTGAAATCCCCCCGTAAGGTAGCTTGAGGTCCTTTGCGTCTGGCGTCGGCTGGAGTAAAGCACCCGCTGGACTGTCGCGCCGCGCTCACGCTCGCCACGAGTAGCGGTGGGTGGGCTTCGGTATGAGACGTGCGTCGTGCTTTGCCGTGGCCCGGAAGTGCGTGGCGACAATGCGTTGGCGATAAGAGCTCTCTGGTGCTGGTGCTGCACAGATACCGCGGGGCGCCAGCGGTCCTGGGGCGCTCCCGGGCCCCCCGCGCGCCTCCGCCGCTCCGCGCAGAGTGCTGGATCAGGCCCTTTGGTCGTGAGTCACCCAGGAGTGAGAACAGGGGAAGTACATACGCCCGACTGTAGCACTTCTCTCGTCCGTCTCTTCTTTCCATACCGATTCGAGACTTCGATACTTTCTCCGGCCACCCCTTCCTTTTTCACCCCCGCGAGATTGAGGCGGGCGGGCTGACGGGGATGCACCGTGGCTTACGCCTACTTGCAGTGGCTTTGTGACATGAATCGCCTACTTTTCAGGCGGATCACTAGGGACGAGAGGGGGAGGGCGACCGCCCCCCTCCTGCCCCTCCCCCTCCCTCCTCATACCGCGCCTTAGGTCTCATTGTCCAGTTGGGTGGTTGTCTTGGTTGAGCTGTGCGAGGCTGGGCGGCTGCTGGGTCTTGTCCCGGGCGGCTCTCCCCGTCTGCCCGACTCGCCTCCCTCACTTTGTTCGCCCGCTGGCGGGCCCGTGGCGCCCGTGGCCGGCCGTGCCGCGCTGGGGCCGCTCCAATCGATCGATATATTGGCTGTGTGTTTGAAGGCCGCCCAAGGGGTGCGAGGACAAAATGGACTGACCGTTAGACCTTCGGTCTCCTCTGCCCGCCCTGTCTGTTCGACCTGCTCCCCACGCCCCTACGCGCCCTGCTGCGTCCCGACCGAGCCAGGGCGTCAAACTCA